AGGAATTGCACAAATCAACAGGACAGTTACTTTAAAAAGGATGGACAGTCATCCTACTTAATTTTACTCTTGTGCCTCCATATGCATAAATAAAATAATAAATACCTTAATAAATACTATTTTCCTTACTATTAAAATTATATTTTTGCATAATTAGCATATTTCCATTTAATATCCTCTTCAGATGAAATTATATGCTGCCTTTTAGGCCTGAGAGTCTTCTCCAGGGAACCAGCTAGATTCAGAATTACCTATTAAAACTTTATATGGCAATGATTGAAACAAAAGGTCCTTCCTTGAAACCAAAGTTAATCTTTATACCAACAGTCCCACCTTTCTGGATCAGCCACACTACTACTACTTCCCCTTCTGCCCTATGCCTCACAGCACTCATCTGCCTCTCTCATCCTACACCTTTCCTGTGCTACAGCCATTTCCTCACTCCCCACATCCCCTGTAACTTCCCAGGAGAGCTCAGTAGGGCCCTGAACCAGAGAGACACCAGAAGAGGCTGAGATTTCATTAAAGCTAAGGTAATTTCTAGAATAAGAGTCACTACGGTCCAATAGTGTTCAGACAGAAAATGATGCAGGTATTGTGATTATACTGGATATACATGCTCAGTAATTCTGCAGTGTACAACTCTAGTGAGTTAATTGTAAATATCTGCAAAATTTGGCAGTATGTTTAATAGATATGTGTTTATGTAAATAAGGAAGAGGCAAAAAGAAATGATCATTCATTATGTGTAATCTAAACTATGGTACAGCTTATAAAGGCTTATGTAAAGTAAGAAAGAAAAATGTTAAGCCAGTATTTTACTGTATGATTACTCTGCAAATGTACTCTCTCATTTTTGTGAATGTCATTTTCTGAAACGTGATCTTCTGAGAGAATGAGACACAGTTTTTGCAACAGTGTCACCTTGAAAGTGTTTCTCATTTTCCAGCCCCTCAAACTCAACTATGAAGTTTGAAGCACCAGCTGAACACTAGCTAATGCGTACACCATCATAGATTTAGAAACCATTCCAACAATCCATTACATTTTTACTAAATAGGCCCTGGATAGTCAACAGAAGTAAAAAATAATCATATCGCATTTCTGGCACTAATAGAGCTTGTCCACAGTTCAGAGCAACACTGCAAAGATGCTCAATCTCAGTCTGAAGGAGCACACAGATGTCTTAAACACCATGTCTACCCAAGCTGTGCTGCACCTGGGATGATGTGATATGCCAGTTACCCAGGACAGCATGGCACACTGACACAGCTAGCCTGCCTCCAGTACCTGAGCTAGTTCCCCTGAACTTCTCTGCACAGCCCTGAACTGTGCAGGATACATGAATTTCAAACTTAAACAAGTGTGTTACTAAATGCATAAGAAGCAGCACTGTCATGTAAAAGGTATCACTTTCTACACAGTAGCTTTTCAGGGCAGAATCATACTGAGTTCAAACTGTGGGTACAAAGCACATGCGATACGGAATAGGCAGATGTTACTAAAAGCTCAAAATGCAAAATAAAGCAAGGCATTACCATTTTTATCCATGGAATGGGGCTCAGACTGCTTCTTTCCAATATCAGCAAAGGATCTCACAATTGGGATCCTGTTGCTCAGCTTCTTCTGGTTCTGATGGTGATGCTGTTTCAGTAATGCCTCATGCACTCTGTGACGAACATCCTCACTGAGCTGTCCAGAACCCACCTGCTGGTCCAGAATCATGTCTGAAAATATATACATAAACATTACAAAAGAGGGGAAAGAGGAAATATTTTATTTTTTAAATTGCAATAATAAGTAATACTAACCCTAGAGGATTAAAAATGAAAGTTATCAGTTCCTTTAATAGAACAATTAAAGGGTAGGTTTTATCTACAAGTGTTTCACTTTCAGGACAAAACAAAAACAAAAACAAAAACAAAACAAAACAAAACTAAACTAAACTAAACTAAACAAAAAACCACACACAACAAACCAACCACCATGCTTTATGTAACAGATCAATCCCTCCAAAGATATGCAATTCCCAAATTAAGGTCATCCATGTAACTTTGAAGTCAGCCCCTAAACACTCTCATACTTAATGCATTTAAACCGAGGATTATGGTGTGTATAAGGTGTCTTTTTTTATCTTCTCCAAATAACCTCTACCTATTTGTACAAAGGACTGGCATGCTGTGAAAAAAACTTTTTTACTCCCTTTATACTTACCCACAGAAGATCACAGTTTAGCTCTTTATTTCTTATAACTGTAATTACAATACTTTCAGTACAATATAAAAAAAATCAGATAAAATAATAAAGGAAAAATTGCTGCATTATTTGCAAATACTTAGGACCTCATTCTACTGCTGAATGTGCATGTTCCTGCAAGAGAAGTATTACATGGAGGTGTGAGTGAAACGTATGTAAGAAATTACAACCGTCTTTGCAGTACACTGGCAGAAAACAATCTTACAAATTAATATCCAGAATTATTTGTAAATCTGTGCATTAGATATTTCAAAAGGGAAAGAACTGTTGGCAATTTTGTGGGATTTTAAAAAATCATTCGAGAAATTTCTGCTAGCACCAGTTAATAACGCTTAACAGAAAAAGAAGGGAAGGAAAGAAATTCTGTATCCAAATAAGTAAAACAGCATTTAAGTACACACTGTCCTTGTATATCTGTTGGAAGACACTGTACTGCACAAAAATAGTGACATAATAAGCTGACTCAAAAACTCCTTGTACTGAAATTTCAGACAGCTCACGATTCTGTGCTGGCGTCAGATTCATAGCTATCAGTAAATTCAGTTGAAAAGCAAGCAGAACAGTAAAATAAAAAGCAGATGCATCATCCGTAGAGACATAATTTGTCAGTCTTTGATAATTGCCAAGAGCAAGAGAAAAGAAGCAAGATAACAAAAGGCATTCAATAATTATGTCAGTTAAAAGCAGAGTTTAATTGCTAACAGTCAACTATGCACTGTATGCACATTTAAAAAAACACAACAGATTTTCTGAAACTCTCTATAGCCACATAACAAGCCAATGTATCATATACATAGCTGCTTTAAGAGCTGAACAGCAAATGACCTCCATGTTTCACTTATTATGAAGAGGCTGCCAACAAATCTACATTTCTATGATGACACACAAACAAAATGACCAGGTTGGGTCCACAGATAAATGCAGCTGCCAACAGATGCAAACATGAGGGATGTATCCGCGTCTCACAACGCAGAGTGATGTGGGACCCGATGGGATACACCCACGG